CCCTAATCAATAAAAAGCATTTAACTGTTAGCTGCAACTATCTTACAGAAACAAGTTTACGTAAATAAGCAGTAAAGTCTTGTCATAAACAAAGACAGAAATTTGTGCATCAAGAATGCCACAATGACTTCAACACAGATAGATCCCCATGCCTCCATATACCTCAGCTGCAGGCAATGAAACAACGCACGTTTAAAATCAGATATATGCTTAAGCACATTAAGTGGCCTTGTCAAGCAGGATGCTTGTTCTTTCCCAAAAAGAATTTAATAACTGTTTTCGCTTATGTCAATGAGACCAAGAGGTGCTCCCAGTTGTATGACTATAACAAGAAAAAAAAACAATTATAATTCCTAAAATGCATTTTTTTTGAAAAATGTATTTCTAATGGGTTAGATAGTACTAAGCACCAAAGTCTACTTTCAAAAAAAATAAGGCACACTTAAAGAAGTTGAGTACTAAGTCTTTTGCTGCTCTCTGTACTAAGAATAGGACCTAAGGATTTTTTTTTTTTAACAGTCTGGTTTAAAAACAAAATATAAGCAACCCACAGGTGAAAATGCCTGCGATTTCTTTCATGACCTACAAACAAATGAATAACACAGAAGAGGTGTAGGAGTCTAGAGGCAAGATTTTGTTTTCTTTTGTTACTAATATTTAAAAACAAACCTAGCTTGAAAATGGGCATACTATTTTTTCTTAAGAAAAAATGTGAGAGAGACTGCCAGAAAGAAAATGCAGACAGCCTCTCTCCACAACTCTGTCTTGAAAAAATCATTTTATGATGATAGAGCCATTTTTAATGGCCAGAAGAGAAGAGATGCTGCACATCTGAACGACAGAAGTATGAGACCAATGATGAGAGTGTAGTCTATGACCATATCAGCACTGCATAAACACCACAACATTTCAGTTCTGCTAGAGATGAAATGAGAACAATTTAATCCATCTTCCAAAGCCTCCTTTGGTAGAAAAAAAAAAAAACAAACAACATAAAAACCACTAAAGGACAGTTTACATTTTTCAACCAAGCCACTGACCTCACCATGCTATTGGTGGTGCCCTCCATCTTCCCTCCCTTGTATCTCCACACATTCTGAAGTTTATTCTAGTTTTCTTTCAATGCATCCTAAATAACATTGTTCTAATTTCTTTTTAAAACCAATTCAAATCGGTGCCATTGTAAAGGAAGTTTTCCCAGAACAAAAACATCCCTAAAAGCTTCTTTCTATCACTATATTTTTCTTTCAAGTTCAGCTTATCAGCCCTCAATACCTCCCTCACAGTCTTGAGTCATTGTGGCAACTCATACACATGTAGAAAAGAAAAAACAAAATGCTTGGAATTCTGAATAGCTTTCTCTGGTAAGCTCCAGTTGCTATAATTAGACAACCCCTTTTCTAAATCACAAATACAACTATCAATAGAGGTAAAAATGAAAACTAGCATCAAACACATAGAACAAGCCAAATCCAAATGTTTTGTTTCCTTTCAGTCATCTCAAAACGTGCCCCGATTTAACCCTCAGAACTCAAATACACCGTTTGTTTCCATGGTTGTCTTTGCATATAAAATACCTACATAAAGTAAACAACAAAAACAAATCATCTTATTCACATGTCACAAAATTAGTAATGTATAAAAATAAGCAAAGTAATTATGCTTTCACTTTAAGCCAAAAAAAAAAAATTTTTAGAAGTAATGTAGATTCTAAATCACTAAGTAATTAACCTGACCCTTCAAGTAAGTGTGACATCATTTCCAGCACCTCAAAAAGACTCAAAACCTACAAACTTCAACCAACTTCACGTTGCAGAGACCTTATTTTCTTCATTTGCTGAGTTAAACTTGTAACATTGGTCCAAACCAAAAGATGAACAACCAGTTCAGATGCTTATCTGTTTTACCCTACTTAATTTTTTAATAAATTACAGAACTAGGTAACAAGTTCATAAAATAGTCCTAAAAGATCCAAGGCCTAGAACGTGAAGCTTCTTAGTTCCCCTAAATATAGCATCAGTCACATGTCTGTCACTGAGACCACATTAGCTTTTCTATGCTAGAATACCTCCTAACCCCTTCCCCCCAAAAAAATTTAGATTGTGCTACAAATACTCAGTCTTACATGAAATATGGCATGTAACATCTCAGACCTAGAACAGCTTAAACAACAATACACATCCATGTACATCCCCCATGAAAAACCCACCCCAGCACCCCCACAAAATGAAACAGTAGCACCTCGAAACTGCACTGCTGAAAAGCAAGAAAAAAGTTATTTGTTGTGTTCAACAGCAGTCTATGATCACCAAATAGCTATTTATTAGTCTTTTTTTTTAAATAATTATATAAATAAGTCTTATTTACTTCTAGAAAGAATACTTTTAAAAAGCAGTTTAAGCTTAAGATGATGAACAGTTCTCAGGAGTAAATTTGTACTTTGCAATTTGTAAATGCGCAAACATACCAGTTCATACCATTCCAAGACCAGATCCAATAATTTCAGATTGCACTCCTCATAATAAAGCAAATGTGTGGATGCTTGGCATAAATGCACAAAACACCTTTCCAAGACAGCAACCCATGGACACCCACCAGTAGATGCACCACTCACCAAGTTCTATTTCACTGATGGGAAAAATTAATTAATACATGCTATTTTATATGGTATGTTCAAAACTAAGAGTGCTTCACATACAGCAGCTTTCAGAACTCCCTGGTGTAAAACTGGTGGTATCTTCCCTACTGTTCAAATAGGGAAGCTGAAAAAAACTCAGCTGAAAGCACTTCAACACTGAGTCACTGACAGAGGCAGCGGCAGAGCCTATGATTTCTGGCTGCCAGCCTTCCGCTTCTGCCACTACCCAGCCCCTCTCCGACTTTGAAACCGCATATAACCTCTTTCTAATCAACCACTTGCATTGTTTCCCCTTTTGGGGAGACAGATATGCAAGGTCACGATTATATCAAAGAACAGGGTACTCTTGGTAACTTCGCCGCACCCGAGCGCTGGAGGGTACGCTACCTCTGGAAGAATCCGATTTTGCCAACCCCCTGATCTCAACAGAAATGCCAGAGACCGCTAGTTTCACTAGGAGGTCTGGCTTTCAGAAGAGACAACTCATGTGAGTGTTTGCAGGATAAAGACATCATTCACATAGACACTTCTAACGGCAGGTACTAGAAACCGTTGCTCTCGCATTTCACCTCACAAACCCTCTTGAAAAAAACTCTCAAGGTGGAAGTCCAGATAGCAGAGCTGGGAGCAGACAGAGGACTCGAGCAACTCAGCCTTGAAAACGGGAGGAACTGGTCTCATCTGAAGCTCGAGAGTCCTGCTAAGGCACAGTTAGAGTGTGAGAGCGGAAAAGTAGCAGGAAAAACAGGCCAGCAAGAAACCTTATTCCAGCCTATCCAAAACAGTGTATTATTTCCATTAGCAGCCTGTAAAATGTATTATAGAAATCTTTGGGTACTGTCAAAGCCTTGGAACGATGCATTTATCCATCAAACAACTACCGCTGAATGCACCAGCACCCAATACGATGGGTCCCGAACACACCATTACTCTGATCATATTGATATGGCTAACTTGTTTATTATTACTATTATCAGGATATCAGCTGGCTAGATCCACTGCAGACTACACTAAGTTCTCACATACAAAATACACTTGGAGCCACCATATTTTCCCAGTCTTTCACAGCTTCTGTATGCCACTGTGACAGTTTCACAGGGAAGACTCTTCAGAAGTACTTTTAATTACTATTTCCTCCTTAGCTAGAATGCATTAATTATAGCCTGTTCCTCCAGATAATACGAAAACAAAGACCAGTGCAATATGAACAGTACAAGAAACTTAATTACTGAGTCAAATGTCCTTTAGATGTCAGTATGACCACAGTGAGGAGCAGGAAACTAAAACACACACGTATCAGCCTCAAGTTGTTAGATCCGTTATCAAAACAATACTCTTTCCTCAGTGACTTCATTATGAAGAGCTCAACCAGCTAATTAATCAAACACCTGTTATGTGTTTTGAAAACGTGCTTTTTTTTTTAATAAAGGAGGCCTGCTGATGTATTTGTTACAAAGCAAATGTGGTAAATGGTTCTGCATGTAAATGCAGAAGTGCAGCATGACTTTGAAGTTTGAAGGTCAGATACAGTAACTGTTCTCATCAAGGTTCTTATGTCAGACTGCATCTTCTGTTTTGCATCTGTGTTTAGGAGGAGGAAGAAAATGAATTAAAAAGAAAAACATAAAGACAACCAGTTCTGTGACAACTTAAGAAGAACTGGAATGCTATCATTCACCTGTTTTCATTTAAAAATCTGCAAATACCCTGTCTCCCCAAAACGAAGAAAGAAAATGGAAAGGGTGCTGGGGGAACACACAATTTCATTCTGCTTTTTAACTTAGATTGATTTTTCCTATGAGAAAAACAAAGTCAGCAATGATTTTATGTTAAAGAAGAGAATGTCATTTTCTCCATTTTCAGAGACATTTCAAACCCATATCGTTTAAGAAAGCTGGAGGATTTTCTTGTTGATCAACACGTTTCATTTTAAAGCACTATAGATTTGACTGCAGATGCAAACCACAGGATTGTGTACTGATCTTTTTTCCAGGCATCAGAGAATTTACCCCTCAGCCTTCTATATTCCCAGCGTCTTTAGGATACAAAACTCAACAGCTGGGCCTGAAGGAAACAAATATGCCTCATGTACCAGAGTCTGATCCATATCAAAAGAGGGGAAAAAAAAAAAAAAAAAAAAGAATAATAATGTGTGTTTTACATGCATACCTCAAAGATGAATAACCAATACAGATTTCTTTTTAGCACCACCACCATGTTTAAATACAGTAAAACTGATAACACTCCCCAGTAAAACACGGAGTTATAAACAATCCCCTCTTACACATAAATAACAGAGACATTGTACAAAGCAGACAGGAACATGGACGGATGTACACAAAATAAACACATTCAAACTTACCCCACTCTAGATACTCAAGAATGTTCTTCTCTCTTCTCAGAGGGGAATTATTACATTCATCATAAAGGCAGATGAGTATATCCAGCAAGGTTTCCACACTGAAGCATTGCCCATTAGTCTGAGTTGGCCCATCCAAAATAAACTGCTCCAACTGCTTCAAACGCACTTCTCCAGACATGGTTGTTTCAGTTTGCATTGGGGTTTCTTTTTTAATGATTATTATTATTACTTTGCCAAAAAAAAACAACAAAAAATAAAACAAAAAAAAATCTTTTGAGGGTTTTGTTGTTTAAAAAGAAGTCAACAGTATTTTTAACAAGTGTCAAACTGTGGTGGTGCTTAATTTCCAGCCTACCTCGGTGTTCCCAGCCTGAAACTAAACCCTTGCGACTTTCAGACACACACACAGAGTGTGTGTATCTGTGTGTACATAATTTTTAAGAGAAGAAAGTAGTTACCCTAAAAAAAGAAAAAAAATCTTTTAATTTGCTTAATAAGAAGGGGGAAAAAAAATAATACATGGCCACTGCTGATGCTTTAATAATTGGACTCAAATTCAACCGAGACTGACTGACACCGATTTCACCGTGCGCGCACAGACATACGCACTTATATATTTAAAAAGGTCTTCTCCTCCATTCAAAATGCAGATCATGCAACACGATCCTGAGCGGAGCCCCGCCGCATCATTAAAGTGTAACAGCCCCCTTCGGCTCGCACCAGCCTTTCACTTCCCGGAACGGATGGGAAGGGGAAAAAAAAAAAATAGATGCGTTTATATATTTATATACACGAAAGAAAGAAGAAAGCAGGGCGCGCACCGGCGAGGAGGGAGGGAGGGGGCCGCGCAGCCCCGCCGCCCCCGCC